CCCAGCCAAAGAGGACATTGAAGGGCCCTGTCAGCTTTGATTAGCAAGGGGTCTCATGACTTAATGGGCCACCATATTTCATGTCCAGAGGGGCGGCGGCCGCCTTGGGGGCCGGCATGAATGCCTCCTATTGTCCATTGAGTTATTTTATTTACATTTTTTTAAACAGCTTATAAAGGTAAAAAAAAAAAGCCTGTGTGTGTGTGTGTGTGAGAGAGAGAAATCTGCTTGTAAACCCTCCCCCCCCACCGTTCCTTTTGGGGGGGGCAGGCAGGAGAGCTTTTGTAGGTCTCCAAGAGTGGGGCTTGTTTTTTAAAGGCCAGCTCCCAAAGTTCCTCTTCTTGTTTAATAGCCGTATATTAAATTCTAAGCAGCTGGGAGCAGAGGCGGGCTGGGCTGCAGAGAGGTAGAGGAGAGGATCCAGATCCGCTTGCTTCCTTCCTGACAAGAGGAAGGGTACTCCAGGATTTCTTTCCATTTATTTATGCAGAAACGTCCCTCCTCCATTTTTCTGGAAGGCATTCAAGTTTTGCCAAGACAGTGGTGGGGTAGAAGACCTCTGTAGATGGAAGAAGACTATTTCAAGAGCAGTTCAAGAAGGAAGGTCAAACTTACTTTCGAAGGGCCAAGTATGAGGAGGAGCATTCAGAACGGTTTACCTCAATTGCTTCATGCTTCCTTGAAAAATGCAAACTCCATCGCCAGCAGGTCCCTGGCTAGTAGTTCACTTTCCGGCGTTGCCTTTAAGGCCCTTGTAAAGCCATTTTGGACAGGGATTTTCCCAGTTGATCCATCATAAGTTACTTTGTCTTGCTTTTTTTCCTCCTTTGCTTCTCAAGGAGAAAAGGCGCAATGACAGATTGACAAGCAGCGCAACCGGTCATGAAGTGGTTTTTCTTTTTGAACATGACAACCGCTGATCACCACCGGTCACTTTAAAAAAAAAACAAAGCCCACAACTTAACAAGTAATGGGAAAAATGTTTCCTTTTAAACAGTCACTTTACAAGCTTTTGAGTGCAGCATATGGAGAGATCAAGGCCAGCCAGTTAGGTAGATTAAGGGGGTGTGTATGTGTGCACAGTGTATTTGAGGATGATATTCCACAGTATGCTGTGTTCACAATGAAACTGCTTGCCGGAAAACGTCACATTTGAAAAGGGGGTACGGAAAAGGATGAAAAGGCAATTTTTAAAAGCAGCAGCCCATTCAGAAGAAAAACCAGAGCAACATGTACAGGATGTAGGTCGAGAAAGAGCTACAGTGAAATGATAAAAAAAAGATCTGAAATTATCTAGAGGACATGTTCTATACCTGTGGCAGAATGAGGTGACCTCGTGAGATCAGGGAGGGACGGAGATCTTCCTTTCTGATTACTTCCTCATACGTGCCTCCCCGTAAATACCACATTCAAGGCACAGGCAGGATTAGAACTCTCTTCCTTGACATCCAAGATTTGTAGGGTCTCCGTAAAAAAACACTGAAACATTACCTTCAAAGAGCTGTGCCTGTAACATGGCTTAATGGCTTGGTTTATTTATTTATTTTTTAAAATGGGCCAGATTTCTATACTATAGTAAGCAACAATCTCTGGCTTGTGTAAAATCCCTGTCACGTACTCCTTCTACTTTTCTTAGTCTTACAGGAAGGAGTGCCCAGCGATCCATTCATCCGTGGGGCAACTGAGGGAGATCTCCAGGTTCAGGAGGGAGGTGATGAAGATGAGGGGGTGGCTGCTTTCTAATCACGCTTCTCGGCCCTTGTGGGAAGGAGGATGCTGGATGAGATGAATCTGGTCCAGACTGGGTCCCCTCCCCCCCCTTCTTCCAGGCCATTCATTGTCAGCCATGAATCGCTCCTGTTTCCCCATCTCGTCTTGTCGATCCGAGGGAGAGAAGGCGCACGGAACGAAAGTTCCCATGTGTATAAAACAAAAATAACTGCGAGGGAACAGCAGAGAGGAGCCGTTTGGTTGTGTTACATTTTCCACGGCCGTCTCCCTCGTCCATGTCCCGGTTCAAAGCTGATCAAAATAGAAGCATGGGAATGATTTCTGTCTCTTCCTCTCCTCCCCCCGCCCTGGTTCCCCCTCTTCATTTTTCCCCTGTTTTTTTTTTTTTAAATAAACTTCTGCAAAGTTCAGATCCATATTGGGGTCTGAGGGTTCAGAGGAAACGGGTGCAGGAGGTCTGGTTTTACTTATTTATAACAGTATGCATTTAGGAAAATATGGAATGCCACTTGCTCTGTGTGTGTGTGTGGGGGGGGGGCAGTGAGAGACGTTGCCTTTGTGTCCAGCCACACTGGCCTGTGAAGCAGAGGGGCACATAACCCTCTTGCATGTGTTTTTTCCCAGCCGTTCTTCCGTGGAGAATATGGGTTGGCACTGTGCTCCCCCATGAGCAGGTCTTCAGAGCCTGTGGCAAGACAGTGGCCCGGGCAAGAGCCTAGGGGGAAGCCCCATCCCTGTCTGGCAGGAGGATTTGGACACTGGCCTCCCAGAACAGGCTGTGTCTGGGCTGTAAAAAGACCAGGTTCGGTTTACTCTGGCAGGAACCCACTCGTCAGCGTCGGTGTGTAGGCGTCTGTGCCTACCTTTTGTTTGTTTGCTGCTGCTCTTCTCCTTCGGAAAACTTGCAATTTTGTTGTGTGTGGTTTTTTTTCCCCCCAGGCTGCCGTTCTAAGCATCAAACTGAACCTGCAGCCAGACCTGACACTGGAGGAGGTAAATCGCACCCGACCCTTTCATTGGGGCCTCTCTCTCCAATTCTAGACACGTTCGCAGAGGACTCCTGGGAGGTTTCTCTCCAGAAAACAAGGCACTTTGCCACCTCTGGTGATGGGTTAGCCTTCTTGGAGTGGGTTCTCACTTTTCAAAGGAACCTGGACAAGTCACCACAGCAGACCTTAAAACAAGCCCAGGAAGGCATGCAAGGGCTGCTAGCTTTGTGGCACCCTCTCCTCAAATCGGCTCCTTCCAGACTCCAGTGCAGCTCAAACGCCTGTGTCCAGTCCTCTCGATCCCTCCGGGTCCAGCTCTGGGGGCCCCGGTATTCCTGGATGAATCTGCCGTGTTGTAGCTTGTCTTTGCTGGTCACTCTGGCCTCGCTGTGTCGCTCCCAGTTTGCTGGTTCCCTTGTCTTCTCAGCTGCCTCTTGACATCGGTGGTGCGGGAAGGGTCCCTGGGCTGCAAAACGGTGGCCGATGGGCCTTATTTTGCCCCCTGTCCCACTTCCATAGGGGGCTCTCCAGCACACGTGTACATTTCAGACCCAGATCCTTCTCTCAGTGCCTGTCTGGTGTTTTCGTTGTGGGAATCCTCTTCTCTGGTCCCATTATAGAGGTATTCCGGAGCCCTCCCTTCTGCCTCCTCACCCAGGGGATTTCAGACCCAAATCCTTCTCTCGGTGCCTGTCTGGTGTTTTCCTTGTCGGAATCCTCTTCCCTGGTCCCATTATAGAGGTATTGAGCCCTCCCTTCTGCCTCCTCACCCAGGGCACTATCCTGCAGGTCTCCGGCCCTTCTAGCCTTCTGCGCGCTTGACCCACCGGTGCCAGGGGCTAGGAGCTGGTGTGGGAATTTGCCAAGTGACTCTTCCTCTTCCTTGCCCCCCCAAGATGTGCGTCCCGCTGCTTCTCCAAGACAAGACAGACCTCGTGGAAGCTTACGTGGAAGGCTACCCCGACCTGCAGGAGCAGCTCCTGAGGATGCTGGACTCGTGGTTTGCGCCCGGCGTCCAGATCAAGAATGTCATCAGGTGAGGGGGCTGGAGAGGTGACACCTGTGGTAGGTATCATCCCATTCTTTGCAGATGCAATGCAGAGTTTCCTGGGCTGCTGGCAAGCTCCATGGAGGAAGGGTTTTGTTAATTCTGAAGTAGACCTTTCCATGGTTCTCTTTCAGGAGCTATCCAGGCCTGTCCAATATAAAGACAGAGAAACTCAACCACCGGACGTTGACCAAAATGGCCTTTCGGTTCCTGGACAAATACCACCTAGATCCAGGTACGGATGATGTGACGGCGGGTCAGCAATGGTTGGCCTGCAGAAGTGGAAGATTGGACGGTGGCCCGGGGGGGGGAATGGAGGACGACAGCCTGGCCATGGAGCATGCCACTTCAGTCTGGGGGGAGGCGGCTGGAGGGCTGGGATCTTCCCTCAGGTTTTATTCCTGCATCTCCTCCCTTTTTTCCTCCCGTGCGAGTGGGTGGTCTGGAGACCTTCTAACTTAGAAAAGCAAAAACGAGGCTTTCGTGTGGCTTTATTCCTGTGAAGGCGTGGTCTTAGCTGTACAACTAGCTTTCTGGGTGCACTGATGTGCCTGCATGTGAACCCTGAATCATGTGATCTAAAAGAGTGGAAAGGTCAGAGCAGCTTCACAAGGGGAACGCAGTCCCATCTTGGACAGCTCGGGGTGACCTTTTCTTCCTGCTCATCCCCATCTCTCCGGTTCTGAACCCCACCACCCCAGTTTGCAATCTCTTCTGCTTACAAAGAGCTCCCCAATCTGTGCCCCATCACACACACCCCCAATTTAGTTTGCTGAGATATCTAAGGGTGTCCCCCCCCAACCCCTACTATTATGCTTTTTGGCCACAAGACCTGGTATGTCTCTGCATATTTTTTTGACCAGGGATTCTTGGGGAATGCAATTACTTGCTTTATGCCACTTTCCGCATCTCCCTGCAAAATTACCGAATGCCCGCATCTCCTTTTTGAAACACATTTATTTATTTATTTATTTATTCATTTATTTATTTATTTATTTATTTATTGCCAGTGTCAAATGAAGGCAATTCTTATCAAGATACAAATACAAGGATCAGGATACCGTACTGTTCACTGAAGGGCTTAAAGAGGCTCACAACAACACAATTATTTTTGGCTACCTGGACAGCCAGATCTCCTGTTCCTGAAAAGCTTCAGGTGGCAATCAAGGCCTGAGAACCGGAGACTGAGAAAGCTCACAAGTATGGAAGCCTTCCTCTATCGGTGCACCCGCATGTGTGTGTCTCTGCTGAGTGGAAGCTCTGAGCGGTGTGCCACATCAACACTAGAGGGTAGGAGAGGGCTGCCGAGCCACCTGAACTGGTTCCAACATTTGAAAGAGGGGAGAAATACCCATTCAGCGTGTGAAGACAGTTTTTCTCACCAATTGTTTGCGGGTTTGAATGCTGCCTGACAAGGCATGAGGTGCATGGAATAAGGTTCCATGAAATGGGGAGTGGGGTGGGGGATGAAAGCCCCTGTGAAAGATTTGGAGGTTGTCTCTGGGTTTTTACCCAACTGAGACACACACACCCACCCTCACACACTCACCACCACCTCTCTCTCTCTCTCTCTCTCTCTCTTTCTCACCACCACCACCCCCTCTCTCTCTTACACCCACCCACCCCTGAACCCATTCTACAGCAAATGAACTCTTATGCATCTTCTGAGTTGCTTACGGGCACCCCTTGGCCTTGGTCGGTATGGCACAAATTCCATAGAAAGCTGTGCTGCTGAAAAGCAAATGATCTTAGCTACAGAGGGAGGTCCACGTCTTCCAAAGAGCCAGCGCTCCCTGGCAGGATAGGAACTTTGCATAACCCTACGTCTGGCCTCGATCCCCTGGCAACAGCACCAGTTTTGACTAGGAGAGAATCCCACCTAAGCCCCCCCCGAAAGTTCCAGCTGCCAGCCCGAGTTGGTAGTATAGCAGGCAAGGCAGTTCAAAGAACAGGTTTCTCCCAGCCTCCCCGGCACACCATAACAACCCCCTTCGAGTCTGTTATTTCTTTTAAAGGAGAAACCCAGTTTGTGTGAGGGCTTAAGCTGGACCTTCTGGCTGAGAATTTCTTGTAGGTGCAGCTTTTAAAAATCCCTCCAGAAGGGAGCCAGTGCTGTGTATTGATTGTCCTGGAACTCAGGAGTCTGAGTTGAAATCCCTCCTCGGTTCTGAGATGCACAAGGATGAGTTTGGGTCCCTCGCTGCGTATCTCGGCCTGATTTGATCTTTCGGGATCATTTTTATAAGGAAGGGGAGAGGGAGAGTAAGAGAACTGTCTTGGCTCCCTTGTGCTCACAGGTGGAAAAGTGGTGTAGGAATGTAGCAAATAATCCATCAGTTTTTCCAAACTCTGGGCAGGGTCCCATTTGCGGGTTTTCCTGCCTGCCTTGTTTGTACTGAGTACCTCACCTGTATTTTTTTTTCTTTCTCTCTCCCTCCCCTTCTAAACCCACATTCTGCTCCAGCTCTTTGCCCCAACGTGATCAACCAGAGGCATCTGGGCACCCTTAAGTACCTAGTCCGCAAGAGGTTTGTTGAGGTAGGTGAGAGCAAGAGGAGGGGAGCCACCATGGGGGGGCCCTTTAGCCCCCCCCTCACCTCTCCAGACAACTGAACCACCTTATTTTCCCCATGTGCCCTACAGAAAACGATGACGCAGGAGATCTGGATGGATCACGTCCAGGTGAGCCCGCGTGTAATTTCGCTTCTCCCTCTGTGCTTTCCGTGATAAACTAAGGCATTAAAATTCTGCATCCAGGATTGTGCGACGGGCATAAATTGTTCATTCATGCAAGTTTCAGGAACATGTTTTCATTGGGCGTCATTTGTTGGTCTGTTAGATTTCTATGTCATTTTTTTCTTCCGGGAATGCTCAGGGAAACCTATGTCGCCTCAATCCCAATTACCCTGTGATGTAGCCCAAAGTTGGCCAGTTCATGTGATGGCTGCTTGGGGATTTGAATTGCATCGTTGGCCAAGAGGATGATGGACATCGTCATCATCATCATCTGTTACGGTCATCGCAGTATTTTGCAGAATTTATTGAGGTTTTCCATGGTCACAAGGGGGTGGGGGGGAAGAGGAGCAATGTGGAGAAGTGAAATCCTTGTCCTTGATCGGCAGAAATCTTCTCTAGCTTCCCCTTCGAGAAGGTCAGAAGTGGGTGTTGCTTGTAATCTTTCTCTCTCCAACCATAAGGGCCAGAAACTTGGATTTCAAAACGGGAGCTGACATTCTCTGGTTGCTGATGTTCTCTGCTTTGGACTTGCTCCTGTTTCTGAGCTCAGTCCCTTTGCAGGTTTGAGGCCAAGAAGCCCCAGCCTGCTCGGGGGAGAGGCCGGTTGTTCCTAAGGGCCCGTGCGGGTGAGAGCACCGGTCCAGAATGCGAATGGTACGGAAGGGAAAGAGAGGGCCAAGCATGACCTCCTTGGACCAAACAGCGACCTTTGGACTGGCATATTTTTATTCTCACAGAGACTCTGCTTCATGGTGTGTTGGTTTTTTTTAATTGTATTTAAATAGTTTGTTTTTCTCTCAGTCTGATGAGCAGACCTCTGGAGCCAAAGCCTTGAAGGCCAAGCAGGAAAGGTCTGTAACCAGGTTTCTGGCTGGAGTAAAGCAATCGGCAGGCCCAGCCACCTTGCAAATCCGCCCAAATACTGTAGATGGGACCCCCCCCCCCGCAAAGGCTCTTGCTGGCAGGATGCATGTGAGGAGGGGAGCAGGGACGAATAATCAGGACCTGCTTTTTCCTCGTGAGCTCTGCAAGAGCAGGTGGGAAATGTTCTCCCCACCAGAGATGGTGAAGGATATTTTTGTTAGGTGTGGAGAGAATCTCTGTTTTTTTGCAAGGAAACTTTTATGCATTTCTTGAGAGGCGATCAATCGGGAGGAAACCTGAGTTTGCTACTGCTTTGTTGCATGGATGCAACACGTTGCCCGTGCTCAGTACCCTTCCCTCATTTCTGGATGACACGTGTGTTTCCCTCAATCTGTTTCAGTCTGCCGGTGAGGCCTTTGGGGAGAGATGAGAAGGGGGGGGAGCTGGTCACTGGTGACCCACAGCCATCCTGCGGGAGGGGCTTCCTCCCTGGCTCCCCTTTTACACTGGAAATCTTGGCTTACGTCAAACCCTGGGATTCATAGCATCCCCCCTGGGCTGTTTTTCAAATCAGGGCCCATCTAATTTCCCCTCTGCCTGCAAACGGGAGCATGGGGCATGATGAACTTGGATCACAAGCAGCAAGGAGGTGAAAGGGGCCATTTGAAAGAGAAGGGGGGGCGGAGGAGTGTTGGAGGGGAGCATGGGAACTCCCCAGCTCAGGTTTCATCTCTGCCATGAAGGTATGGAGTGGCTTAAGGGCAAGTTTGTACCGCCAGGAGGATCAGGTGGCAAAATGTTTTCCTCCATTGCCTTGCTTCACACACACTGTGTGTGTGTGTGTTTGTTTGTGCGAGACGGGTAACAAAATCTGGCATGTTTCGTCCTTCCCTTGCAAAAATGAACGTCTGGCTGTACCTTGAAGGACCAGCCTCCCATGTCAGGCAAAAGTTTGGGCAGAACGTGGAAAACTGGGAAAACCAACCCCAGTCTCTAGAGCTCACGGCCTCCGTTGTCCTTCCTGCTACGGCTGCTCTTATATATTTTACTTTTCTTCCACCTTTCTCCCAGGACTGACCCTCGAGGGATCTGGCAGCAAGTTTAAAAAAACGAGTTCCGATAAAAGCAGGGGCAAATAAAAAACAGAGGGAAAGTTAACAACATGAAAAATACAATTAGACGGAAGGTTAGCCGAGGGGTTTCCTTCGTGTTCTTTCCTCCATGCTTGCTGCTGGAATCGTTTAAAACTTCAGGGGTGCCCTGGTGCCAGATCTTTGGCCCCCTCCCTCTGAGTGGACACCCAGCTGGATCTCACCCCAGGTAGCCGAGGATCTCTGGGCAAAAGGGCAGCCCATCTCCTGAGTGGGAAGAGATCCACACGGAGGGCCAAGTCTTGTGGATGGCGGGGAACCCTCCTTGGGGCTTGGGGGGGTTGTCCCAGCAACATCAGGCCCACCTCTCTTGATACCAATGGACAACCCAGGGGTCTGGCAGTTCGGTTTTGCCTTAAGACCTGCAGGGCTGTCACTGAACGGTGGAGCCCCATTTGCTTTGGGATGAGGGAGACCCCAGGCTCAGATCTCAGTAGACGGCTGAGCCAGGGAATTTCCCCCCCCCCTACCTCCCCGGTGAGCCATGACAGAGCCATGTTAGGCTAGAAGGTGGTTAAGCTTGGAATGTGTTCCCTGAATCTCAGGTGCTTACACAGGCTCCTCTGCAGATTGCACACATGCGCGTGCGCACACACATACACACACACAGAGGGTGTTTTTCTCCTCCTGCGTGTGTGGACGCAACCCGCCTGCAGGAATGCTGCTGCAGCTGTCAGATCTCATTCCTGAGATGCTTGGAGCAGCAAAGGCAAAGGTGAAGAGTTGGAAATAAATCACTCAGTGTTGTTGGGGGGGGGGGAGAGGAGAGGAGGGGGGGGGGGATTTGGTGCCAAACCTTGCACGGTGTGTGTTTGTGTGACAGGGGCAGCAACAACGCCACCGTCCAAAAGACCGGCTCCAGGATACAGCCACAGCTCGGAAAGTTGCCTTTCTCAAAGCAGATCCTCACCCCCCCATCCTGCCTGCATTTGTCCAGCCTTCTTCCGTGAATCCTGCTTTTCCTCTCGAGATGCTCAGGGCCCTGCATGCATGCCCATTTCTGTTCTCATGACAGTCCCGCAAAGGAGGCACGCATTGGAGAATGACGGCTCAAGGAGAACAGAAGAAGGGTTTGAGCCGGGCGACCAAAACCGGCTTTTGTTCCGATGCCCTGGTGGCTGGGCCCTGGCCTGGGGGGGGGGTAGGACAGTGGGGCTAGCTGAGCTGAAGGCAGCCCCCTCCTCCCCAGGCGCCTATAGCCTCTGGCTTCTGGCAGCAGGTGCCCAAACCCTCGGAGAGGAGGGTATAGCGCAAAGCCGAGAGGCCGGGCCGGCTTCCCTGCTGGCAGGCCTTGGCAGGAGAGCCCGTCCTCCCCTCCCGCCCCAGCCGCCGCCGAGCACTTTCCCAGCCTCTGGTGTACAATTTCGCAAGGCTCTGCCCGGTTGGCTGGGGGTGTTTCCCTTTTGCTGCCTCAGCGGAGGAGGAGGAGGAGAGAACGGCCCCGGCCACCTTCTCACACACCTTTCTGTGAGCTGGGGAGAAGAATGCTGCTCAGCCGGTGCCTTGCCCGCCATTCTCCCTCTGGCACTAAACCCATAAAACAAAGTCCAGGTGGGAACCAGGAAAGAGACACAGTGCAGCTGAGAGACAGGGAGAGGGAGAGAGAGGGCTCCGATTTCATACATGCAGCCCTCTTGGAAATCCCACAAGGAGAGGGTGAGGGGCCGTTCCGCCCTCTACCCCCTTCCCTTCTCTCGGAGCCCTTCATACATAAATAAATGGGAAGACCAAGAGAGACCAGTGTGTCTGTATGTGTCTGTGTGCATATCTATACATATTAGGTATATGAATACATATACTGTATATATATATACAGTGGTACCTCGGTTTACAAACGCGTATATGAATACATATATACATATATGTATATACAGTGGTACCTCGGTTTACAAACGCCTCGGTTAACCTAATTTTCGGTTTACAAATAGAAATCCATTGAAAATAATGCCTCGGTTTACAAATTTTTGTCCGCAGCACGAAGCAAAGTTCGCATTGCGCCTGGGGGGTTTATAGCGCCGCCCCTGTGCGTGCATTCCTGTGGGGAACCGCCATTCGGTTTGCAAATATTTCGCATTACGAAACATCCCGGAGAACGCATAAAATTCGTAAACCGAGGTACGCCTGTATGTCTTTGTGCGTGTGTGTGTGTCTGTGTGTGTGTGTAGACAGATATACACATAAGTGCATACACACACACACACACACATACAATGTGTTTGTGTAATAAATGTTCTTTCTGAACTGTGCTGTAGATTATCGCTGCACCTACCGCTTGCCTAAAGAGAGGAAATTCCTAATGGCTTTTTGTAGCCACAGATTTTTAAATAAAAAAAAACCCATACTTCCCTTCCACCCACTGGGCTTTATGCTAATATTGGTGCGGGTACAACGCTAAGAGTGGCTGTTTCCCCCCCCCTCCCAAATGGACAAAAGTAACAGGTCAACAAGGGCAGAATCACAGATCTATAGAGATGGAGAGGACCTCCACCCCCCCCAAGGGCCTCCTCGTCTTGCCATTTTCCAGGACAGTGCATCACCACTAGGCCGTTCTGCCTGACATTTAGTAGCTCCAGGTCCCATCCTCTGGAAAGGCGGAAAACGAGGCAGCTCCAGCTTGTACCCAAGTGCCCAGCAAACAACCTCCGTCGCCCGGTATCTGCGGGCCTCCCTTCCTCCTTGTAGCCAGGGGGGAGAACTAAATCACATCACCAAAATAACACAAGGAGCAAAGTTACGTCAAGGGGTGACAAGTTTTCCAGTGGCTTTGTGGAGTGACCTTTCCGGGGCACTTTGGAAGGAATTTTTCAAGTTTTATGCTGTTCCCCCCCCCCATGCCCCCAATCCCTAAAGGCTTGTCTGCTTTTTAAAATATGACAAAGCAACAGAAGAAGAGCAAACAAGGAAATGAGGAATGCAGCCCACTCCGTTTGAAACCCTGCAGCAAGCAAGAATAACCACTTACTTCCTAAACATGGCGCAGATTATTTTAAATAGTCAGCGTGGTCTGCGTAAGGGGACAAAGCAGCACCCTGTCAAAGAACAGTCCGTTCACCTTTTTGCCCTTTGGCCAGCTTGAATAGTCAAGGATGTTTTGGAAGTGCCCGTCTTTTGGTGGAAGTGATGGCACTGCAGGCAGGCAATGGGGCAGGGTTTGGGGGGGCAATGCAAGAGGAGGATCCCCTACAGCCTGGCAGCTCCTCAACTCTTGGAAATACAGACACGTTGCGGATCTGCTCAGTGGGGTTGGCTCTGCCTTAAAAAGCCCCCCTGCCCCCCTCCCAATTGTAGCAAGAGATTTCCTTAGGTGCTGGGAACGCCTGATTGTCACAGAAGGCGCTTCCCTCTGCCTCCTGCAGTCAGCAAAGTCGCTGGCTTTGCTTTCCGATTGGTCCCCGAGAGGTAAACACGGGCGTCGTTTCCAAAGGGTTTCCCCAAACGTGGGAACTTGCGAGAAATGTGTTTTTATCCTGTTGTAATGACAAAGATAGGGTCTGATCTAGTTCATCCCTCAAGATTCTGGGCATTCCCCAAATTTGGAAGCCGTGGCTATAAAGAGATGTTTCGGCCACTGCCCCCCTCTTGGCCATGGGAACCAAGCCTCCGCCCCGCACAACATTTCCTTGCTTTCTTTTGCTTTGCTCTGCAGAGCACCGTGCGGGAGAACCGATGGCTGCAGGAAAAGCTGATCCAGCTGCTGGTCCGTTGCGGGGGCCTGGAGGTGGCCGCGTGGTGGGCTCTGCATTACGGCCTCCCCAGGGGAAGCCTCCCCGATGGTGTGATGGAAGAGATGGAGAAGCTGAAGCTGCAGGAGAGGTAAAGGGGCCGAGAGGGACCCCTTCGGGCATCCCGGGGGCAGGACGGCAGGCGGGTGCCGGGCTGTGCCTTGAAATCCGGGCCTGGGTGGGTTTTAATACGAGGATGGTCGCGGTTCTGCTGGAAGAGCCGTGGGATTCTGCAACTCAAGACCTCCCTGTCAGCACAAAGCAATGTGAAAAACAAACACTGGAAAGGAACAGGGATGCTAAGAGCTTGACTCGAACCCGCCGCCCTCCTCCCAGGCTCTCCAATCCCTTTCTGTCCAAAGCGTTCTCAGGCTGGGTGCTGATTGCCACTGCTTTTCCATCCAGGATCTTCCCAGGTAACAGAGAGAGGGGTGGGGTGGTCCTTTCACACGCCTTTGCTAAATATGGCGCAGGAGGTTGCCCAATTATTGACCGACCGTCTCGTGTGCACACACAGACCCTCCGTGCGAGGGAGTGTTTGTCCTGCCCGGCCCGTCGGCCCTGTGCGATGCGTCGCACGCTCCCCTCCGTACGAGGTTAGCAAATATTTTTTCAAACAATAAACCAGGGGGCTGCAGGCAGTGTGGGAAAGACGCCGGCAGGGCCGTCGTGCTTAAAGAAAGGAGCTGAGCTTTCCCTCGGCGTGGATCGCTTCTCCTCAAGTGGGGCTTTCTCTCTGAGGAGGCGTCCTGTTGAAGAGGCCTTCCCTCACCTCTGAGGAGAACCTCTGACATCGTAGTTCGAAGCGTGGGGCCTCTCAAAGATCAGATTTTGAATCGAAGGGGAACCATCCCTGTCTCTTGAGGAGTGGTGTTGGGAAGGACAGAGAACAACCACACGCGCAAGGGGCGCCTCACCTTACGAGTTCAGTGGTGTTTTGCTGTTTGGTCTGTAAGTGCCAAAGAAAGAGGTGCTTGGATTCACTCCATCCTTAGGTCAAAGAAACAAACAAAAATGCTTGCAAGCAGAAATCTAGTCGTCCAGGCAGTGGATCTAGACTGGCTCACACCAGACACAGCACACTGTACGAATAACTCCCTTCGGGGGCTCTGGGGTTTGGTGGTTCTCCTCATGTTTCCCTAAAGCAAGTGGATTTCTCTTTCTGGGCAGGAAAGACTGCCCAGAAGAGGTGGCGAATATGGCTGAGGGCCGGAAGAAGGACGGTTATTATCGCCTCCCCATCCCGAGAGACCAGGTCCTTCTCTTATCCACCTGGGAAGAGGTGCAGAAAGCCAAGGAGTCTGTGCTACAGGTAGGGGCCCCAAACCGTTTCCCCACTCTGATCCTCAGCACAAATCTGCCAAGACCGGGCCGGAGGGCCCTTGGACTACAAAGCCCATCACCTCTTCCCCTGACGGTCCTGGCTGGGCTTTCTGGGGGTCCCATTCCAAGCTGTTTTGCTAGCCCGGTCAGGTTTTGAATCCAGAGGCTCCTGAAGCCTAGCCTGGCCTGCTTAAC